CATAATTTCTTATTATTTATTATTACATTGAAATATTCGTTACTTGTTTATGTATTACGTTCAAATATGTGTCAGTTATGTACGTATGTATGTACATAGAATATGTGTTACCTGTTTATTCATTATGTTGATACACGCATTACATATTTGTTTACGTATTATGATGGAAAATGTATTACATATTTGCATTTATATTGCATAATCCAGTAATACTAAATAAAAAATTTCGCATAACGTAATCATGTACTGTAATTAAAAATAAATAAATAAAAAATAATCATGCTCAGGAAAAAAGCGATTAAGAAAGCAATCTTAGGCTTGGCATAAAACGTTCAAATGCAAAGGGTTAAAATCGGCGCGCGCAGTTGCTGGAGCTTAAAACGATTGCGACTCGTAAAACGATGAAAATCAACGTCCACGAAACGCGGTGCTAATGTGTCATATTAATTGGATTCCGGTGGGCATAGATGACGGTCCGATGTTCCGCGAAACGCGCGGCACAAAGAGCGCGGCGAAATATAAATGACAAGAGGTTCGAGCACAGTTTCGAAAGAGGCCTGCTGCCAGTTCTCTGTCGCCGCCCGTCCGGTGCGAGTGTTTTCGTGCGCTAGACGCGGAACGAGTGACACGAGACGACACGAGTCGCAGAGAAAGGAAGCAAAGGTTGTGTCAGAGAGCCTTGAATGCGGCGGTCTAGCCGGACCCGTCGGATGATGCCTGTCTTCGGACGCGCGGTTTTAAAAAAGAAAGGGAAATGGAACGCCCTCCGTTTCGATTTAACCGTGCAAGTAAACCGGGTCGCAAATTGTGCTGATACCAATATTTAACTTGACCAATGTTTAACATCACAGGATGTTCCATTTGAATGGCAACTTGAAAATTACACGCTCGTAGAAAGTCTGATCCTTTTCGGCCAAAAACTGAGTTAAGTGAGATTTTACAGCGTCATCGTCATTCAAAGTTTTATCACAAAGGGAGTTGTCCAGGGATCGAAATAGGTGGTAATCCGATGGCGCGAGATCAGGGCTATATGGTGGGTGTAACATCGATTCCCAATCAATATCCATCAATTTTTGCCGAGTGGACAAAGACGTGTGCGGCCTAGCATTGTCCTGCTGGAAAATCACACCTTTACGATTGACCAATTCTGATCGCTTTTCCTTGACCGCTGCATTCAATTTGTCCAGTTGCTAACATTCGCGGACAATAAAAAATAACATAATAATAATAATAATAATTTTATAATATAACATTTACGGATATCATAAAAATGGGAGTGAGAGACATCTATAACTGAAATCGGCAATTACTTAGTTGCCAATCCAATAGATTTTTTTATATCTCCTCTTTCCAAATTGTCCATATTTGTTTCCAAACCGAAGAACGATTGGAGAGAATTTACGATAGCTAGCTTTGAAATATGAATATGATATTTAATTTTCATTCTACTGGATTCGAGACAATCCTACCGCAATAACAGCAATTTAAAATCTCGCCGAGAAAGGAAAAATCAATTTTGCGCGCGGAATCTTCATATTGGCTTCATTGCATTTGTTACTAGCATGCCTCTTTTTGGTAGCTTCAGATTTGAGAAAAAAAGGTCATCCAGATATCATTTATCCGCGATTGAATTGCGGGACCTCGTTGGAGTCAAGTTTACTGAGATCGGCTGTTTATCATTTTAGAATGATTGCTCTGCTGAACGATTCCTAGAATCTTTAATTAATCAAGGATAACGGATTCCGCGGAAACGCAATCATATCTTCCCAACAAAGCATAAGTACTATCTGAACCCGGAGCGGCATTCGTTCCGTTCCGATTAATTTTTTTCTCTCCCGTGCAATTCCGGTCGCAATTCTATGTAGGTAACATGATTGACGTGAAATTGACTCCTTGATTGGGTTTATCCTGAATTTCGATGCGTTGTCTTTTAAAAGTCGTCTAAATGTTTGACTTACGTGACTTTCGACGAGTCGTCGAGCTTTATTGCACTTTTTTATCAATTTTTTTAACATCTTAACCAATGTTTTCGTGAACGCGTGTGAAATATAATATATATTTAGAATAATATATATTTCGGAAAAAGATGTCCAAAACTATCTTGTTAAAGGTTTATAATTTTCCATGGTAATTCAAATAACCGTCCGATTATTAATTTGTATATTTTGGTTTAAGTCTATGCATAATTCATACTTTCATACATAATGCGTCGATTGATGTTTGATAAAAATTATTCGTTATTTGGAAGTTTAAATAAAAAGACAAGAATAATTTCTTATTATTTATGCGGATCTAAATAATTTATTTAAAACAATGCAATTGGTTTCTTATTTATACATACAATTTCAATTGTTACTTATTAATTATCATTTAATTGCTTATTATTTATTCAACAGAACGCGTCGAGCATACGTCATAGTCCGGAATCACGAGATCACAAAGAAAGATTCGAGTTCTTCGATAAAACAACAAATGAAAATGAAAATTTATCAACCGAAAAATGAAACAGAACTTACTTATTACTTGCTTTCCACCTAAATTCGATTAAAAAATAACATTTTATTTGCAAAACTAATGTACGAAATATCCACTGTATAATATACAACAAACGAAAGGAACGCAGAAACGATCTATTATTTATCTTCCGTTGAAATTCGAATAAAAAGTAGTGTTTTATTTGCAAATAAGAAATAATAAATTATTTGTAGAATTATTTAAGTGATTTTCCAATTAAATAGAAAACGTAATTATTATTTGCAAATGAAATAGTAATATAATTTGTAGTAGTAATATAATTAGTAGTGGTAATATATAATATAACAGTAACATAATTTTTATTTATTTTTTAAAATATATAAAATTTGTCCAACTTTGTTGGTAGTTGATAGTTTGCACTACACTTCGCGAAATCATCGAGCATAGTTTGATCATTGCACGAGTCGCGGAATCCGAAACAGCGGAACGAGTGGACATTGTCGATCGGGGAAACAAAAATAAGGAAAACGAGAGAAATACGAGGAATACCTTCGCCGCGTCACAGGCCTACTACATTTTTGTCTGGCAAGCGATTTATTTTTAGAGCGAACTTCTGCCAGCCTCCTTAAACTTTCTTTTCCCTCTTTCCATTCCGTCGAAAGCCGCCGCGGCGAGGCACACCGTTGCGTGTTTTTACGTGCGAACCTATGGCGAAGACTTGTCGCCCCCTCAGGGACCATTAACCACGAGGAACTATAAAACCGTATTTACATTTCGCGCAGTAAGTCACTTTGTGCGAGCGGGACACGTTAAATCAACCGGGTACCGTTTCTATAATTGATGCGCGACAACCAACTGAGAGATCCGTTGTTTGTCGGCGCTCCTTTTACTTTCTGCGCGGTCTACCCTTGTCTCACTTGCGGCGAATGAGTCATTTTTTAACGTTTCGACGGCCGCGCCGCCGACCGTGTGTACGCGACGCGACTTGTCTCCGCGTTGAGAAATTATATTTTCCGCTGAACGTCGATTATCCGAATTTCCAATTGCCTGAACGATTGATTACACTGTCCGACAAAATCAAACTTTTTTTCTGGGTTCCTATAGCCACTATGAAATTCTTGTAGAGCTTCACTCCCTGAACAAGAATCCGAGAACCGAATTGCTCCATCACCCTCAGTTTTTTAAATAAACGAACTTCTGTAAAAATCCAAAATTTTCGACAAAAATGCGGTATAGCATGGAAAGTACAAACGTTAGAAAGTTCTAATTGGTGTTAAAAGATAGAGGAGAGTTTCCCGAATATAGTGGCATGCAATTTATGAATTGTTTTTGGTCCTGAATAGCGATAAATTAATGTCAAAGTTTAAAAAAGTGTCGACGTGTGCAATTTCTGCGCAATATTTTACGAAAAGATTTTTATTCTAATTTTGTATATATATAATATTTAAATATTTATAATATAAATATTCAATATAATTTAATAATAATTTTAATTAATTTAATATTTAATATATAATAATTTAATATAATATAAATATTTGTAATATATAATTATATATATTATAAATATTTATTTAATTATATATGGCGTAGAACAATTCATAAATTGCATGTCACTATATTCGGGAAACCCTCCTCTATCTTTCAACACCAATTAGAACTTTCTAACATTTGTGTACTTTTCGTGCAATACCTCATTTTTGTCGAAAATTTTGGGTTTTTACAAAAGTTCGTTTATTTAAAAAATTGAGGGTGATGGAGCAATTCGGTTTTCGAATTCTTGTTCAGGGAGTGAAGCTCTACAAGAATTTCATAGTAGCTATAGGAACCCAAAAATCGTGTCGAACAGTATTATCCGAGTGCTGGATATAATATACAGAATGCATGCGATACAATAAGCAGGCAATACAGCTTGAGTCCTTTCAGTTATGATTAGATTACAGATTTTATGCATTTTTGAGAAGAATGACTAGGTAAAAATACAAAAATACAAAAAGACAGAAGAATTTGAGGATTTATTTATATTTATGTGTAACTTGTTAAAATTTCCTCTTGCTGTAAGAGGAAAGGAAACTTTTGTTTTGCATAAAAATTCGCAGTTCAGTTATGATATTTTACCTGGAAGTACAATTTATTTATAATCTATTTCTAAGGAAATAGATTACAAATAAAATTAACCCTTTCGCAGGTCTTGTTCGCCTTCCTGTAAATAGAATCTACTTATTCGCAATTGTTTGTGATAAAATTCATATAAAATTGAAAAATTGAATGACATTTTATGATTTTACGATTAATTTTATTTGTAAAAAGGTGAATGCGAGTCTAGGAAAGGATCAATTCACAGCGGTAAAAGGAGAATATGACTGTGAAGAAGTATTATTACACAGAGATTAATGAAACTGTATACGTTCGCACGTACATATTCCAACACGTACGCGACAGTGTTTACATTTTAGGACACGTACCATGAGCGTGAAAAGAAAACGAGTGCTGCAGAAATTGTTTATCTCGCAACCAACGTAACATTGGTGCTTCAGCGAATGGACGAAGCAGTTGAATCGATCAAGAAGTATTACATAAGGAGTTGGTTGCGGCGTTTATTATTTACTGACAATATTGACGTGTATCTACGAGTTTTCCAAGAAGATTAATTAAAAGATCTATGTGTGGAGTGAACCATGAGAAAAGTAAACGATAAATTATGCAGTTGCGCAGGTAATAATACGAGCCAAATTGAAGCCAATGAATTGGAGAATTTGCAGAAAATATACCTGAATTCTAAAATTGTATTAAATTGTACGGACTTTCAAGATTAACAATTTATGCTACTGTGCAATTATTTTCATATTTTATATCATTTCATATTTTATTCGAAGCGTTAATTACTACATCAAGAGAGAAAAATACCGCTCGAGTCGTTAATAATGATCTGAGCCGTTTATTTTGAAAGTGGCATAAGTCACTTTTTCAAAAAAATCGAGTTAATGGTAACACTAATTACAATTGAACGGTATCTTTTCATTTTAAAGAAATTTGCAATCAATAAGTTGAGAACTATTGAGATTTGTTCGAGAGAAGTTTTGCTAATTAACGGTATAACGAACATGTTTATTTTGAAAGTGGCGTAGGTCGCTGTACTCAGGAAATTAATTGCGGGACTTAGTGTAAAAGAAATAGAAACGTGTGATAAGTGTGTGTGAAGTATCGTTTTGAATTATTATCAGTATTTTTAAAAAACTTGTGATCACTGAACTTATTTGTATAAGTGCGAAAGAATAGTGCAGTTTTGTAAATTATATTATAGCGATGTAGCGGCTACCTCTCCAGACCCGCCAGCAGATGGCTATAAAATGTTTTATAAACTAACTTTAGATGAAAAAGATGAATTTCTAACTTTGGATTTGTCACCAAAAAGAGGAAGACCTAGGCGTTATTCACAAATAGAAATGGATCCGTTACACGCTGGATCTCGTCCTGTTTCTTC